CCACCGTTCTTCTGAATCTGGACGGAATTAAGGTCAGGTACGTCCAAGAATGCTCATTCACAAAGAAGGAAATAGGCTTTTCCCATCATGCTGTCGCCAAATGATAATCCCTTCTCAGTGATGTATGTGTTTGACCGCACTCCACCGTTCGTCTGAATCTGGCTGGAATCTAAGGTCAGGTACGTCCAATAATGCTCATTCAGACTTCACAAAAAATCCCCCTTCCGTCTGCTGACGTGGCGCAACTGTAGAGCCGCCGAATGGCCATCAAAATCATGTTTGACCGCACTCCACCGTTCGTCTGACTCTGGCCGGAATTAAGGTCAGGTACGTCCAAGAATGCTCATTCAGACTTCACAAAAAATCCCCCTTTCATCTGCTGACGTGGCGCAACCGTAGCGCCGCCGAATGGCCATCCAAATCATGTTTGACCGCAACTCCGCCGTTCCTCTGAATCTGGCCGGATTTAAGGTCAGGTACGTCCAAGAATGCTCATTCGGACTTCACAAAAAATCCCCCTTTTATCTGCTGACGTGGCGCAACCGTAGAGCCGCCGAATGGCCATCAAAATCATGTTTGACCGCAACTCCACCGTTCGTCTGAGTCTGGCCGGAATTACGGTCAGGTACGTCCAAGAATGCTCATTCGGACTCGACCCAAAAACTCTCCTTCCCTCTTCAATCGGAGACACCCATTCCATCTGCTGCTGCTGACGTGGCGCAACCATAGAGCCGCCGAATGGCCATCAAGATCGGGATCCATCGCTGATGACGTGGCCGACGGCGACGCTTGAACCATTTCCCCGAACGGATAAAATTGTTGACGTCAACAGTCATTGCACCCGACCTTTGACCGAGATCCGTTGACTTTTCTCGAAAGTATTCGACGATGCAGAACGGCATCGACTTGAGACCGACGACGGATCGAATCCCGGCGACGCCAGCAAGTGCCTGTCCGCTGCGCGCCGGCGCACCTTCCAAAACAGGAATGCAGATCCCGGTCTTGCAGTAGATGGCGAAATCTTCGCAATTATTCTGTATGTGGTCGTAATCTCCGAATCCGTGCATCGAATCTCTCATCAACGTGTGAGCTCGGCGCAAAACAGCGGACGGATCATCTGCGACCGACAGCGAGCAAGTGCCACGTGGCATCCTCACCTTCGTCGGCCAATCAACCCCGTACACGTGTCGCCGAAGCAAGCCCCCGTTCAGAAAACACATAAGGCAAGATTGGATCACGTTATTACCACCTCGAGGTCGTCGGAACGCCAGCTCAGAACAGTGACACGTGGCAGAAGAAGAAGAGGCAGCCGAGTTAGCGACAGCAGCAGCAGAGCAACGCGCAACAGAACAGTGACACGTGGCAGAAGAAGAGGAGGCAGCCGAGCGAGCGGCAGCAGCAGTAGAGCAACGACCAACAGAACAGTGACACGTGGCATCGCTGAGCGTCCGTCCTGTGGATACGACGTAGTCGTCAGAAAACACGTCCGGGTCGTTCCCCCCTCGGACCCCTGTTGATGCTAAGTCGCGATCCAGGTCGGGATCCAGGTCGGGATCCACGTCATCATGCTTTCTTCGTCGGGGTCTCGCAACCGTCGCGGCAGAGCAACTGCGAGAGCGACACGTGGCAGAGCCCATGTCGTTCCTTCCCCCTCGGGAGACTGTGGCTAAGTCGCGATCCACGTCGGGATCCACGTCATCCCTTCGTCGGGGTCTCGCAGTCGTGGCAGACCACGTGACAGAGCCCACGTCGTTCCTCCGTCGGGAGCCTGGGGACAAGTCGAGGTCGGGATCCGCGTCCTTCCTTTGTCGGGGCGTCGCAACTGTCGGGGAGAGGCACGTGGGAGAGCGACACGTGGCATTCGTCTGGATGCCCTCCTTGGCAGAAAAGTTGAACTCGTCGTCGGAGCACCTTTCAGCAGCACGTGCTGCTGTGCACGTCAGCACCGAAGGAGAATGGGGAAGAGGATAAGGTAAAGCGGTTTTGGCGGGAAATACTAAATAGGATGACGTGGACAAGTGATGGGAAAAGGCGGGAGGATCACCTGGAAGACCGGTTTTGGCGGGAAAAGCGGACGCTGCTGAGGTGTCACCTGGAGAGTAAGACGAGGAGGAGGGTGACGTGGCATCCGGAGAATGAGAGGTGGATCGGGATAGGAGAGAGGGAGGAGCACTCAGAAGAGCCGTTTTGGCGGGAAAAGCCTCCAGGATGCTCCTTTTTTTGGCGGGAAAAGCCTTCAGGATGGTCGTTTTTTTGGCGGGAGACGAGGAAAAAATATCGAGTTTATCCGGATTAACGAAGTGGATGACTTGATCGTTGCCGACATAAATGCCATGATGGGAGTACGTGCCGCACATTCTCCATACGTAGATGTGGTCCCCCACCACAAGCTCTGACCGATCGATTAGCCTCCCGATGCCGACATCGTCGGCTCTCCACTCCTCCACCATCATTCTCCATCGTCTCTTGATGGATTCCAACCGTCGGATGATGGTCGTCATGATGGTCGTTTTGGCGCCAAAACAACACACCAAGAGCACCGCACCTGTCCAGGATCCCATCAACAAATCGGTCCGATCTAACCTACCTATAGCTAGCAGAGCAACCAATACATCCTCAAAGCAATTCCCAGGCAAACCACGATTCTCTCTCTCTCTCTCTCTCTCTCTCTCTCTCTCTCTCTCTCTCTCTCTCTCTCTCTCTCTCTCTATCTATCTATCTATCTATCTATATCTATATCTATCTATCTCTATATCTATCTATCTATCTCTCAATCTATCTATCAATCTATCTGTCAATCAATACCTGTCCATTCATCCATCTCTCTCTCTCTCTCTCTCTCTCTCTCTCTCTCTCTCTCTCTCGATCTAGCTGTCAATCAATAGCTATTCATCCATCTCCCTCTCTCTCTCTCTCTCTCTCTCACACACACACACACACACACACACACACACACACACAACGAACGAAATACAGGAACGAGGAAAACGCTGTCTAAATTTAGATCATCGTGCGGGCTATGCAATCACAAAAACGGTTGACGGACGTAGAAAAGAAATACGGTTGACCGATCCATAGAAGGGACAATACATGTAAAAGAAAGTTCACGAAACTCTGCCTCTCTCTCTCTCTCTCTCTCTCTCTCTCTCTCTCTCTCTCTCTCTCTCTCTCTCTCTCTCTCTCTCCATGAAAGTAGCAAGACTCTCAGCTTCTGTCCGCCTGTCTTTTTTTCTGCCCGAGTCCAGACGCATCTTCCCTCTCTCTCTCCCTCCTTCCTCTCTCTACCCCTTCCTCTCTCTCTCTCACATCTCTCTCCCCTTGGTGCGCATATCCTCTCCCTCGCTCGCACGTTAGCCTCCTTTCCTCTCGCTGTCATGAAGACCCAAATCATCAAAGGACGAAAAAGAAAAAACACCGGATATATATCAATAATTCATCGTACGACTATCCAATCAAAGAAAAAAGACAAAAAAAAGAGAAAAACTAAAATACTGAAAACTTTGATGCAGTTCCCTATAGTAGTCACCACCACTTCGACACAGAAACTCTCTCTCTCTCTCTCTCTCTCTCTCTCTCTCTCTCTCTCTCTCTCTCTCTCTCTCTCTCTCTCTCTCTCTCACGCGTAGTGGTGCTGAGGCATCCTTTAAAGGGAAAAAAAAAAGAAGGAAAGAAATCAGAAGCCGCGCCTCTGAAGGATGTGAGCATCACTAATGCGGATCACTAAAATAAAAATAAATGAATGAAAAAAAAATAATGATTGAATAAAACGAAATGCGTAAAATAAACTAGAATGAAATAAAAACTTAAAAAGGGATTTTAGAAAATGAAAATACACTAAAGATTGGAGAATTGGTCCCACCTAACGACAAAAACAAGTTGAAAAAAAGTAAAAATAAGACTTAAAAATAAAACTGCAGACCGGAGAGACTTTGGGCCCACCTTAACAAATTTAATCGTTTTTCCTTTTCAATCCCCGATTTATTTTCCCTTTCTGTCCATCGATCGTTGAGTGCCAGCCATTCACTTTCCTTATTTGGCTCACTCGATCGCTCACCCACTTCATCACACAAACTTGCCGTCGATGCACCTTTTCTTTTCTTTTCTTTTCCTTTTTCTCTTTTCTTTTTCTCTTTGTTTTTTCTCTCGTCTTTTTCTCGTTTTTTTCGTTCTTCTATCCTACTAATAAACGTCCTCTATTCTATACTAATAAACGGAGGACCGAAAAAAAAGGACCCCTTTTTTTTTTTAAAAAAAGGGGGGCCCCCCCCCCCCCCCCCAAAAAAAAAAAAAAAAGGAGAAAGACACAAAGAAAACGGATGGATCGCAATAGGGTAAGGCCGATCTACAATGGCAATGGATCGGCCGTCTGTTGGCGTTTATTTTTTTCTGTTTTACATTGAAGTTTATGATGTCGTTAATAACTAAAAAAAAAGTAATAATGTTTTATTTATTTACCAATCAAAACGCGGGGAGCTGAATTAGTAGATCGGTCGATCGATGACGCTTGTTGGCCGATGGATGGATCGAGGAACCAATCAAGTGATCGGAGATCCATCCATCCATCCATCCATCCATCTATCAATCAATCAATCAATCACGTGACCCGAGCGAGTGATTGATCGGTCAAGCTATCGAGGATCCGATCGCGGGAGTGGAGAGCCAACAATCAATCCATCAATTCATCAATCGACCCATCAATCAATCCATCAATCAATCCATCAATCAATCCATCAATGAATCAATGAATCGAGTGACCCGAGCGATCGATCGATCGGTCAAGCCATCGAGATCCATCCATACATCAATCAAGCAAGTAATCAATCCATCAATCAGGTAATCAAGTAATCTAACAACCACTCAATCAATCAATCAATCAATCAATCAATCTATTGATGGATCCATCGACCTAAACAAGCGATCGATCGATCGATCGATCGGTCATTTTATCAAAACTAATTTCACTGATTTCGCTAACAGACAATATAATTATGTCAATAATGATGATTAGACTATACGTGCTTTAACCAAAGTAATCAGCCAATAGCTCTGGCAATTCATCATCATCATCATCATCATCATCATCATCACTCATTTCCAGGGATGAGCTACTCCCTCCCTCTCTCTCCTTACTCATCCTCGCCTTCCTTTCTTAAGCCGCCAGCCGGTCTCCTTCTTGGAGACCCCTGCTCTCGTTCTTAAACCCCTACCACCTTCTTTCCCCCAACCTCCGCACTCCTGGATTTTTTTATTTTTTCACTTTTTTTTAAATACACATGTTCGACAAGTACTGGGATTTTACGACAGTCACTCATTCGCAGGCCAGTAGTAAAGCTCTCTAAATTACGAATCAAATCAAGAAGAACAAATCAAAATCCCTTTAAAAAAAAAAAAAAAAAAAAAAAGCATGGGCTCCTCTAACGGGGCGTATGCACCCACACACCCCCAGATTCTCCAGATCTCTTGAAAACGTAGCGTTCTTTTTTTTTATTGCATTAAATCATTAAAAAAAAAGTTATTTTGTTTTTTTCTATTTCTTAAGCATATATTTACGAAATTACGAGCGCACACAATACGTTTTCCATATTCTAGTCGTTATTATTCTTTTTTTTTTCTTTTTTCCTTTTCTTTTTTTTGTTAATCATAAGTTTGTCAAATGTTCATTACTGAGATGCCATTTCTTTTTCCCGTTTGCCTAACGAAACAGAAGCGCCCACACTTTCAAGGAGCCATAGTAGAAGGAGCTCCTTGAAAGTGAATAGTGTTAATCATAATATTATTTCTTTTTCCCGTTTCCTGTTATTTTAAGAAGTGCCTTGGGCACTGGGCCCGGTTTGTTTTTTTTTTTTAAAAAAAAAAAAAAAAAAAGAAGAAGAAGAAGAGGAAGAAGAAGAGGAAGAAGAATAGTGGAATAGTGGAAACAGTGGCCAACTGACTTACGTACACGCTTCGACATTAAGGAGATGAAGAAGAAGAAGAAAAGTGAAAACAGTGGCCATAGAAGGGGACGACGAAGAAGAAGAAGACTAGTGAAAACACATGCTTCAACAAAAAAAGAGCAAGACAATTCCGCATGCACAGTTTTCAGTAGAAACGCGCAAATTCCCCGCCGCGTTTCGGCCAGGTTGCGCTCCTGGCACTCTTCAGGGGGCTTCTACCCAGACTACGCCTTGCGGGCAGCAACTTTGAATAATAATAATAATAATAAGCATAAGAAGAAGAAGAAGAAGAAGAAGAAGAAGAAGAAGAAGAAGAAGGAGAAGAAGAGGAAGAGAGCAGTGAAAACAATCCATGGCCATGATACCTTTCTGGGCCTTTTGGATAAGTAAGATCAAGTGCACTGTATCTGTTCTGATCAGTTGAATATCTGATCCTAAAAAAAAAAAAAAAAACAGTGGCCATGGCCCATGGATTGCTTCTCCCACATGCTTCAACAGATAATCATTGCATCTCCGCATGCACACTGTTCACAGTAGAAACGAAGCCATGGTGAGCAAGCTGTCTAAAAGGTAAGGAAGAAAAAAAATAATAAAAAATAAAAAAGGCAATCAATGAACCAACAGTGCACTACTACGTGCCCCTCAGTTTCAATGCGATAAATGCG